ACTTCCACTCTCAGGGGAATTCTGGGAGTTGAAGTCCACACAGCTTAAAAATTGCTGAAGTTGAAAAACATGTTCTATTATATACAAAGAGGTACAGGCCTATAATGCATGAATGTAATTTTTCCCAATCCACGTTCTCTAGCCATTAATGCAGTGGTGGGTTTCAAAAAAAATTGGTACCTCTTCTTTGGGTGTGGCCTGATTTCTGGGTCCTCTGGTGGAAACTCTTCTAACCGGTTCGGTAGATTTGATGAACCAGTTCTACCGAATAGGTGTGAACTGGTAGGAACCCACCTCTGGTTTAATGGCTAGAGAACGTGGATTGGGAAAAATTACATTCATGCATTATAGGCCTGTACCTCTTTGTATATAATAGAACATGTTTTTCAACTTCAGCAATTTTTAAGCTGTGTGGACTTCAACTCCCAGAATTCCCCTGAGAGTGGAAGTCCACAGAGCTTAAAATTGCAAAGGCTAAGAAACTATGCGATAGAACCTCCTTCAACTGGATCTTAGAATAGGATGACATTAGTTTTGAAACTCTTAAGTGGGTGAGCCAAATTAATATACCAAGTTAAATGTAACAGGAGAAAATTACAATCCTCAGAGTTGCATTTAAAATTAAAGTCTATTTTAATTATAACTGATATTACAATGAAAAAGCAATATAAATATTTAACAATACAAGGAAATATTTGGTTGGGGTTTTTTAAATTTCAGATTGAAAAAAATCCCCAGGAGCCTCAGCCCGGTTATGTTAATCAAATACATTCTGTAAGTTAATGAGGAAATAATCATTTATGTATTTTAATGCACACCTGTTCCAACACAATATAAAGCAATACAGGTGTTTACACAACATCCCATTTAACTGGAAAGTATTTAAAAATTAATGGAAGCAGCAAACATTAAGGTTGATGAAGTCCTCTGGGAAAATCAGCAGTAGCAACAGCTAACAACTAATATTACCTCCTTGCAGTCCCGTGTAAGGAACCAATCTGTATCCCTCCAAGGGTAAACAGCATTTCCCATCACTTGTTATCATTGTCTCTACTGCCTAATGCAGGGTGTCAAACTCAAGGCCCGTGGACCAGATCTCACCTGTGAGGTGCTTAGATCTGGCCCTTGGGGCCGTCCTGGAAACAGCAAAGGACCAGCCCACAGTGCCTC